AAGCCACTGTAAAATGGCGGAGTCTCCCGAGTCTGTAAAAGTTAAAAAGTCATTAGAAACTTTTAAAAAAATTAAAAGGTGCACAGTGGCTGTGGTTTCATGGTCAGAGTGAGGTACACTACATATTGCAGAGATTATTTTGAAGTTAAGCTGATGATGCTTAGATTAATTCACTGCAATCTACCTTCAGTCTGTTTAATTTTCTACCTAAGTGATTCAAGCTGAGCATATTATTTAGAACTAAAATTTCAACCAAAGTAAAGTTAGTATTCTCATTTATCGTCATTATTACATTAACATAACAGTAGTAGAAACATCTTCCAAAGAGATACTTTTTACTTTCTTACTTTGAGCATGTTTCATGTTTCAGTCTATACTTTTTCATTGTTAGTTGAGTTAAGAAGGTGAATCCGTACTTCAACTTTTACAACAATCAGTACTTGTACTTAAGCACAGAATGTCTGTACTTTTGTCACCTCTGTGGCAAAAGACAATACACTTCCAGGGAGGAGGAAGTCTTAAGCAGCATACCATAACTGTTAGAAGATAATCACACGGATGACTTCATGTTCATAAATTCAACCTGAGATTTTATCACTTTTGCCACTGTTAACAGCCTTAGAAACAAATAACACAAACATGTGCGTGTACTGGAGCACACGACTGATGCTTTCTGCTACTTAAATAGCGCTACACCTCTAGGTATAGTCACATTCAATAAGTACTCTAGACTATGAGGCCTCCCCAAACCAGTTATAGGTCACAGCCCAGTACTCAGACAACCAATTCACAATATTAACACACAAAGGGAAGGGGTAGTGAGCTCTGTGCTCATGTGGTCTGTGCTTATGTGCTTCAGGACTGGTGCCATAACAGCAGAATTACACAGTCACTGCTCACTACACTTAGGTGCCATGTCCACTTGGTGCTGGCCTATCTATCTGCCTCGCAAGCTAACGGTAACCAATGTTACCACTGAACAACCTCACCAACCACAAAGGCCAGAGCTATATCCTGGACAGCAGCCTCAAACTAGCAGAGGAGCTCATACCTTCTTTGCTCAGTTTGAGACCACCCCTCCCCCACTTCCCCTGCCACCCACCTCACCCAGCACACACCCTTCTCCCTCCAGGAACACGAGGTCATGAGGAGGCTGAGAGCAGTGAACCCCAGGCGACCTGCTGGCCCCGACAGCATCCCAGGGGCTGTGGTTAAACTTGGTTGAACGAACTGTCAGGGATCCTCATCAGGCTATTCAACCTCTCCCTGACTCATGCCACTGTTCCCAACTGTCTGAAGGCCTCCACTATCATACCCATCCTCAGAAGACTGGTATAGACAGCCTCAAAGACTTCATGGAGGCTGTCTATGAGCCTGAGCCATCTGGAGAACAGGAAGGTGGACTAAAGCTTCAAAACCATAATCCCAGAAATCCTCACCACCAAACTGGACTATTTTCAGATCCCCCACTTTCTCACCAACTGGCATCAGTCAGTCCGACTTGGCCCCACCTCTCCCCCTCACTGTCACTGAGCACCACGGCTCCCCACAGGGCTGCGTTCTCAGCCCCCTTACTGTACACTCTCTACAGATACGAGTGTAAACCAACCCACCCAACCAAACATCATCATCAAGCATGCCAATGACACCACTGTGATATAGATCAGACAGTGTACGGGGCAGAGGTAGAGAACTGGTGCTGAGGAAATAACCTGAAGTTGAACATTCTTAAAACAGGCCCAGGGTAATTAAATCATTGGCTGCCCACACCCCAACCCTGCCCAACCACCTCACTAATCTGAGCCATGCTCTGAGTAACCCCCGCAACACTCAGGCCACTCACACATGGACT